TGACTGACTATCACAACATGATTTCTTATTACTATAATTGGAAACTAATTTTCTGGCTCTTTTCTGTTTTCGCACGGTTCCGCGACAACTCATTCGAATGTGTGTCCTGTTACCACATTTTTCAACCATTTCATGTTGACTGTAACCTAGAGCTTGCTTTACGTTAATAGGGTTCTAAAGGGCATCCATTGACTGTAACCCTTCAAATATACATATATCAAAGTAAGTTATTAAGATTGAGTAGGTTGCCAGTCATATCCATTTTATGTAGCTTCCATGTGAGAAGTGAGAGTGGCCTTCTGTCTAATACCATTCTTAAGTCAATGTAGACCGCATTGACTGACGAACCCACTACCAATGAAATCTTCCAAGTTCCAGTGAATGTTAGCAGGTTAGAACGACACGATCGAGCACTTCTAAATCCATGTTGATGGGCACTTAACAGGTTGTTCTCCTCTAGGTACCTCATCAGTTTCGCTTTGATTATTTTCTCAATTAGTTTGTAGCAAATGCTTGTAAGACTAACTGGTCTAAAGTTATAAGTTGAGCATTTCTCACTTCCTTTATAAAAAGAAATTATAATGTCTAACTTCCAGTCAGTAGGCAGAGCTCCCTCGCACATCGAGCTTTCGACGATCTTCGAGAGCGCGGAAGACAACTGTTCCGTGAGCTCATTGAGAAGTTTCGCTGATATGCTATCCGGACCAGGCAATTTAGTGGACTGTAGCTGTTCTAGGATTTTTATTACGCTTTCTTTTGCGAAAGACAGCATGCTAGTTGTATCCTTTAAATTTGCAGAATATCGCTGCGCTTCCTTGTTGAAGGGCGTCATCTGGGTATACGCAGATATACATAAATTAAACAAGAGGTTCGTGTAACCTGAGTCATCAGTTAACGTGTTTCCCTGGCTGTCTTCCAGACAAGGAATGAGATACCGATTGTGCTTTGTGTTACTCACGTTAGAAAAGAACCTTTTCGAGTTCGTAGATATTCCTTTGTCTAATTCTGACAGAAAGGCCGATCGTACATTCCACATGAGATTTCGGTGCCCTGAGTCGTTCAAAGGAAAATTAAATCCAAATTTTTTACCTATTTTCATCAAAGCAAAACTGTTTTCAGTTTGTTTATGGTCCCTGGCCGTTTTTATATTTCAGCTAGTTGTCTATTATTTTTTTTCATTCCGCACGTCTTTTGACGTCTTTTGACGAATTTAGGCCACTAAATACACTTTCTACAGCGTCGAAGATCTTGGAGGCCTTGACAAAAACAAGAGAATGCGGCATCTGACAGAGAACAACCTAGTTAGCGCGGCTCAACATGGGTTTCTCAAAAAAATTATTGTTACACCTGCCAGCACCCTTTCTTTGATTAGATCCAACGATCTAGAAACAGTGGTTTTGCACTTTATATGGTCTATTTTGATTTCACTAAGGTCTCTGATCGTGTCGACCGTGATTTTCCCCTCCTGAAACTTGCCTTATTCGGCATAGGTAACAAGCTTCTGAATTCAATATCCACCTATTTGGATGCTCGCACACAAGTAGTTAAAATTTTCAATTTCATCTCCAACCCCACACATATGAGAATTGGAGTTATTCAGAGTTGTGTTCGTGGTCCGGTCTTATTCTGCCTATTGTCAAGGATGTTTATGATAAATTTTAGTATGGAAGACACCTTGTGCGTAGAAACTTTAAAAGTCGCCTATAGATATAAACCGGTAGATCGCAACTAAGCGCTCGAGCCGATAAAAAAGAATCATCAG